GATTTACATTGAACCTTATGGGGAAATTTGATTCAGTTTGCGACCAATTCAGCTCGCAACCAGAATCGTGGAATGGATTAACTTCGTGAACCGAGGTACCACTCTATATTAAATCTTCATTCCCAGCCTTGAAAGCTGCCAGGCGCATTTGGTCATTAATAGGTAATCAGTAACATTTTGATCCTGAATCACAGGAGAAATTGACTTTGTAACATAACCTAATTTGAAAATACTGGGGAAGATTTTTTTAATAGAATGCTTGGGCTAAACAAGGGATCAATGCTTTAAATCAGTTGATTTCTTATAAAGACCTTATATACAATTCCATTTTTAGATTACATCAACAGAAGCATAATTTCTAAACTGCAGAAAGTAATAATTTTATTTTATTTTGCTGAGGTCAGATCTCATCTCAAGTATGGTGTTCAGTTCTGGATACCTCACTTTAAAATGAATTCAGAGAAATTGGGACAGGTTCAGATAATGGCAAGGAAGATGATCAAGAGACCATAACATTAAATTGTATAAAGAGAGATAAAAAGAGCTGGGTCTGAAAAAAGACAGCTGAAGGGGATATGATAAAATACTTCAAATACCTGAAAGGTATCACATAAAAGAAGATTAAGACCTATTCTCTCTTGTTTCATGATAAGAACACAGAATGGATTTAAGTCGCAGGAAGGTAGATTCCAACTGAATGTTAAAAAACAAAATTATAACAATAAGAGCAGTTTGGCAATGGAATGAGTTAACCAAAGAGCTGGCAGGCTTTCCTTCACTGAATACATTCAGGCAGAGGATAGGCAGTCATCTGTCTGTGATGCTTTAATTTGGTTCCTCTACTGAGTAGGTACAACTCTATGAGTACATGAGTTTTTTTATAATTTAACCAATGGAGAAAACACACAGACAGCTAGTTTTACTTTACAGCCATCTGGGTATTTTAATTGGTAGGATTCAAGCTTCTGTATCTGTATCTTTTCCTGGAACCAACGTTCCAGGATAATGCAAAACATAACTTATGCATAACTGAATTCCTCTGAAACAGCATCGTATGCTCAGACGCTTGGGGACTGCAAAAAGCCTCTGTTCTTTCTGCCACTTGCATCTTTGAGAGCCAAACTGTTTTCAATTCAGTGGCCGGATTCGCACATCATAATAAGTCATGAATTGCTTAACCAGTTTTCTTGAATAAGGGATGATTGGCTGGACTCCCCCACACACTAAGTCACAATGAAGCAAACTACATTATGGCTTAATGTAGCAGACAGCTGCAATAATTCTAAATAATGTTAATTTGGTGTGACTGTTTTTACACTTGCAAATAGCTCTCATGCGAAGGAGAACCATTATTGAAACAACAGAAATTTGGGAAGATGAGTTTAATCTTTTCCCCTCATGACATGTTGACAATGAAAATCACCTCTGGGAAATGTTATTTGCATTATGAGAAAAACTCTGATTTACACTAGTGGAACTTCCTCCAACTTAAAGAAAAGCTTAGGTAGAAGGATCAGTTTTCAGCCTTATCATAGTGTTAAAAGAAAGGGCTATACATCTGATTCAGTGCAACATGGTCCAGTCCTGGTTTCTTTCTCTTTAGCTGTGATTTGCGGTTGTAAAATATCCACTCAATTTAAGTGATGCACAAGGTGCCACAATATTATTTGGCTGTGTGCATCTTACAAAGAATTATATTGTTGCCTCACTTCATTTTGATTTCTAATGAGGAACTTGGTGTTCCCTTTGATTTCCTTTCAAAACAATCACAAAAACAAAACAAAATCCCATTATTTTTCTATTTAATGCTTAAAGAAAATATATACCATAACAAACTTAACTCAAGTTGTCTTAACTGGTACATCTTTCAATAACTGAAACCATATATTTCCCTTAACTCAGAATTTGTGAAGATGTTGAAGGTAAGTATAAAGACATGATCTCTTTCCTGGAATGTCCCTATGCTCTCTCATAATTAGAAGTTTGCAGGAACACTATTTGTGAGACTATAGTTTACATAATCTTCAGAAACTGAAGAAGCTGAAATGCCTTCTTTGCCTTGGCCTGGGAACACAGATCCCAAAGAGGTTTCATATTTAAAACAAATCTTTCTCATGCAATAAATGATGATTTCTTTCCAAAGTACAGTAATAAGTAATGCATCCAAAAGCACTAGTCCAAATTATAAAGCCTTGTTGAGGATGTAACTGGCCATTAACTTGACTGCTAGCATTATCTCTTGACAAGTTGGCTTGATCTGGGATTCAGGCAGAAGAAATCCATGTTTGCCCTTATCACGAAGCTCAAAGGTGAAGGAGTATTTGATCCCCTGCTTGAATGCCCAGTCATCAGAACAACCGGAGGAAGGATCTGTAAAGCAAGGCACAACAAATGGAATGACAGGAAACATGGCAGGAAAAAAAAGAGGGAAAGAAAAATAGAATAATAAAAATGAAGATAAGATACTGGTATTTGAATAACTGTAAGAGGAGGAGACTGTTGTTCAGTTGCAGAGTCCACAAGTAAAGTTGCATGTTTAAGATTAGATACTTCCATTTTTAAAATAGGATCAGGTATCAAAAGTTATGAAAGCTCTCTGACAACCTGGATAGCTGCCACTGGCCACAGGAATAAAAATTGGTCTAGATGGAAAAACAGTTTATGTAGAATGCTATAGGAACCTATAATTCATTTCCAAGAAAAGGAATTTTATGGTTCAGTTGCCTGGTTCTTCTCTAAAGGGAGAGAAACAAATAAATTCATTCCTGAACTCAACAGTGTGGGAGTGATCTAATATTAATCCCTTTGATCTGTCCTCCCCCTCTTAGTACTCCATTTAAACACCTGAAATTTCATGCTTCCACTGGTTATCTCAATTTTCATCCAAATCTATTTTGACTGTCTTGATCTGTGTTTCACCTCTGCATTCCATATACACTACCCTCACAAAATGTCACACATGAAGTCTTTTCAGGCTACCTTTGTTGCAACTGACTTATTCATGTGGTTTTTTGATTGAGCCTCTGGGTCCTCTTCCTATTTTAGTGGCTTGAATCACACATAATACAAGTTACAAGATAGATTGTGCTTAGTTTATGGGGATATGTGAACTCTCAACAGTTCCTTGAAAAAATATATTATATTGTAGACAGTACAGTTAGTCCTCAGTAAACAACCATAATTGAGACTGGGAACTCTGTTGCTAAAGGATGTGGTCATAAAGTGAAAAATCATGATCATGATGACTTACGATGGCAGTTCTGGCAGTTCTGGTTGTGGTCATTAAGTGAATTGCATGTGGTCATTAAGTGCAATGTCATGTGATTGCAACTTGCAACTTCCTGCTGGCATCCCCATTGACTTTG